CATGAGAGATTAAGAAGGCCAGGCCGAGTTAGGCTGGCAGTGGTGGCACGAGCCATTAATCCCTTTAATCCCAGCACTCGACAGGCAGAGGCAGGCAGATCTCTGTGAGTTCCAGACCAGGCTGGTCTACAAAAGCTAGTTCCAGGACAGGCTTCAGGCTCCAAAACCACAGAGAAACTCTGTCTTGAAAAACCAAAATAAAATAAAATAACAATAAAAAAAGAAGGAGGAGGAGGAAAAGGAGGAGGAGGAGGCCTAGTTAGAGGGAGAGGATTGGAGGGGGAGAGCAATTAAAGTTATGTTGATAGGGAGCCATTATGGGGTTAGGAAGAAACCTGGTTAGAGAAATTCTCAAGAGTCCACAAGGATGATCCCAGCTAAGATTCCTAGCAATAGTGGAGAGGGTGTCTGAAAGGGCCTTCCCCTTTAATCAGATTAGTGACTACCTTAATTGTCATCATAGAACCTACATCCAGTAACTGATGACAACAGATGCAGTAACCCACAGTCAAGCACTGGGCTGAGCTCCTGGAGTTCAGTTGAGGGGAAGCGGGGATTCATACTCTCTCTTATAAGTCCAACTCCTCTTCCGAATACCCCTCCTCTGCTTCCATGCCACATGAATTCTGTTATCCTCCCTTTCATCACTTCCTAAATCCCTTAAGATCTTAAGATATCTTTCTTCTGTCTCACACTCTCCTTTTTACTTTAATAACACACACACACACACTCGAGAAAACATATTTGGATTTCTGAGTATAATTTATTTTTAATTCCACCCATTTTCTTTCAAATGTCAGGCTATCAGTTTTCTTTATGGCTAAACAATCTATTGTGTATAAATATCACACTTTATACTTTTATCTGTTGATAGACGACTAAGCTGATTCTAACACCTATATACAAAATAAATGCTTGACTCTTAAGGCTATTTTATACAATTTGACTTAGGCTGACCCAGAAACCTTAGTAACTGGGCCAAAGATAGTATGGATTTAAGATTTAAAAAAAAATCAGTCTTTAAAGCCCACTCCCTTAGTCATTATAGTATGCCATAGGTACGATATTATTTTATGAGGGCAGCCAAGTAAGTCTTTACAATGAATTTGTATTTTAAAATGTGCAATAAAGCAAAGGCCACAAGATTGCTTGAGTAACTAAATTGCTTGGTTTATGATTTGACTCTGTTCTTCTTACTAAGAATTCCTTTCGACTAAGTTTCCTTGTATCCATCAAAGATCTCTGTATTGGAGAATAAGTTCGGCAGGCATCTAGCACTCTTGTTTCTGTTTGTTTTTGTCTTTAAGTAGGGGAGTGTATTTTCTTTGGAGAAAGATGTGAATGAAGGCTAAGAGGTTAGAAAATAATTAGGGGAGATAAGTTTGACTTTACATAATTTTGGAGTCAACCCTCCCAAACCATTTTAGACCTTGAAAAGTATAAAGGTAGTAATTATTTATTCTCAAAAGAAAAATCATGAAGGTACAAAAGATGTATAACAACTAGAATATTATAAGGTCTTATGATTTCCATATTAAATTTGGATAGGGCTAAACTTTAATCCTGGCTCTGGAATTTATTAGCTGTGTGACCTTGGGGATGAATGAATGTCATTCACTGTAGTACATTATGAAGACAGAATAAGGTGTGAAGTGTTCAGCATGGTCCATGATACAAACTGCAGAAGCAACTCATGTCCACTAATGTACAGACAAAACATAGTGTGTAGACTGCAGTATCAACCATCCTTTAAAAAGGAAGGAATTTTAGCATGTGCTGTTTGTTACATGGATAAACCTGGAGGATTCTGTACTAGGAAAACTAGCCAGACACAAAATAACAGGTTTGTAAGAAATAGATAGTCTAAAGCAGAAACTTAGTGATTGCAAGGGATGCCAGCAGGAAGGAGTGGAGATGTTTGTTGAATGGGCATAAAGTTTTTGTTTTGAAGAACAGCTTTTGCACAGCTATATGAAGAGACACAACAAGGAACTATTTGATTAAGATGACTGAGATGGTAATTTTTGTGCATTATTCTACAATAAAGAACAGCTCTAGTATTAAAGTCATTTTTATCCATTAGTCTGTCAAAAATAAGTTATCACACGGATATATTTATATCTTTCCTCATTTCGGTTGTGATTCTCAGTGCCTTGTTTGAGGGGTAGTTATATAAAGCTGTAGAGATGTAAAGGCAAGAAGACAGTTAAGAGCATTTATTTTGTCCGGTGTCGTCTAGACCCAGCAAGATGGACTGCTCATGCAAGGTCATGTATTAGACAGCAGGGAAAAGTGGATTTCTTGTGAGCTTTTAGTTCAAACCAAAAATTCCTTTGAGCTGAAGCCATTAGACTGAACACAGAAGTGAACTGATACCCTTTATTTAGAAGCTTAGCAAATGTCCTGCTGTACACACATCTTCAGTTAACCTATGATGCAATAATTGAGATTAGGACTGTATTTTTTAGAGAATAATATTATACAAGCATGTGTGTGCATATGCAGGTGCCTACAGAGGTCAGAAAATGGCACTAGGTTCCCTGGAACTGAAGTTGCAGGCAGTTGTGATGGGTGCTGGGATAAATGGGAACTGAATTCCAGTCCTTTGTGAGAACAGCAAGTTCTCTTAATGGCTGAGCAATCTTTCTAGCTATTTCTTTATTAAAAGTGTTTATTAATTTCTTGTATTATTAACAGTATATTAAAGAAATGGTTGATACTTATCACCTAAATGATACTTTTGCTTTAATTAAAATTTTAGCAAATCAGGACTTATTACTCTTTGAGTCCTGTTTCTTTTTATTTTATTTTTGACTGGTCATCAAATACATGCATTCATAGCATGCGACATGATGCTTTGATATATGTAATGATATAAGCTCAGGTAATTAGCATGTACATTATCTTAAACATTTATCATTACTCTGTGGTAAGAACATTAATAATTTTATCTTTCTAAAAAGATGGGATACATCTTGTTAACTATGGTCGCTCTACTGTGCAGTAGAAGATCGGGATCTGTTCTGTGACTATTTTCCTGCTCTGTAAGATCTAAGCAGATCTCCCCTCCCCTTGCTCATGCCCCATCCTCTTATGAACCCTATTCTCCTATCTCTATTTGACCCACATTTTTAAGTTTAGACACTAATGAGAGCTTGCAGTATTTGTCCTCTCCCTTTGAATTTCAGGGTCTTTTTGAAATACAAACATGGAGGAATATGCTAGTCTTCTTTGGAAGCAGAAACAAGCTGTTTAGAATATCCCATCCATAAAAGGAAGCAGCAGGATGTAGGAGTGTGAACAGATTCTTTCCTAGGGATCGGGACAAGATCTAATACTAGAAGCACCGTTTGGCTTTTCCTGTGTCTTCTTGTTTTGGGAGATTAGCAGCTGCACATTTGCTACTTCACTGCATGGGGCCGTCCTAGAATCCCAGAGTAATCTAGAGAGGAAAGTGGGATTTTGTCAAGGTTCTGTCATTTACCTGAAGCAAAGGAGATGAGGCCTCAAGTCAATACCTGATAAATGGATGATTCAGAGAGAGAACATAGCCCAGTCCTGCCTCTGCATGTCAATGCGCTTGTGGTGCTCTTAAATGCCCAGTTGTAAGCTCTAGAAAATGGGGAAGCAATGGAGAAAGAATCATTAAATTGCTTAAAACAAACGTGAAAGGGTGACCAATACACTGTTTACATTGTGAGAAGACACCTTGTCTGAGAATCATAGTAAAATATGACCACATGTAATTCCCACGTAACAGATGAAAAGTCTAATTGCTTTATTAATGTGAAGGGTTTGTGGAGGATGGATGTGGGGAGGAATATCTTAGAGCAGAGAGATTGGTGAGGGCTGCCATAACCTCTGCAGGGAATGATGAGGTGGGAAGGTGGTCATGTGTGAGTTGTTGTGGAAGAGACCAGACTGTCTGATGAATAGAAAATGAATGGAACTGGAGGTGCAACCTGCAGATCATGAGACTGGAACAACTGGATTTGAGAAGGGAGTAGACAGCTTTTCTATCTCAACCATAGCGCAGACCTGGACTCTCCCCTGCTATGACAGTTTTGTTATTAACACAGACAAGTAGAAGAGCATTGGTCAGCCCCAGGTTTAGGATAACAATGATCAGAGGATCTCTATAAAATGTCAACAAAACAAAGCATTGTGCTTTCATTTCAAACAGTGGGGCAAAATGTTTATCCTATGTCTGTTCACAAGTGTAGTCTGTGCAAATGAAGGGAGCCTGATTTACTCAGAGATCTGTTGTAGCTACGTCTATCAAATACGTATTGAAATGAAAATAACTGGGTTGTTTTGTGTATTGTTAACTTTAAAATTGGGGCATTGTATGTACAAAACTTAAAAGAATCTGAGTAAAATTGTGCAAGTGCACAGAAAATCTTCAGGTTAACTATCCACACTGGGGCTTTATGTGTACACTGGATTTTATTGGATTTTTTTCTCTCCAAGACTTCCAATATTGTGCGATGTGACTGAGGAAAACAATGGTCTTGCTTCTTGCCACTGCGATTCAAAGACAACTGCTGCAGGGAATATATCGCCTTTTCAGTCACACAGTTGAGAAGGGCTGCCACTCACCTAGAGAATCGATTTGGAATGGAAATTTGAAAATGTGAAAAAAAACGTGTGCTTTTCATTTTAACTATTTAGTAAACTCTTCCTACACAATTTGAGAGCAAAACACAAGAAAGGCTGCTCAAAAGATAGTTGGCATATATACTATATTATATTGATTATTAGATACTTGGTTTATATAATATATTCATATCGCTTATTATTATTCACACACACACACGAAAGCAGGCAGCTGCTTGCAAAAATTTGTGATCCTAGTCACAGAGAAACAGAAAAATTATGAGATATTTGGTCATTTTAAATATGTTTTTGCTCTAGAAACCACTTGCTCATTTCTATAATGGATAAGAAATTAGAGAAATTTATCTTTATAACTTTCTCTCCTTTTTTGGTTCTCAATTCAGGGGTCATGATATACTGAAAACCACACAAGATAAATCTGGGAGGCAGGAAACCACAAAGACCACGATCAGACCGTAAGGATAAAGGTAGGTAAGCTGTCCTGTTGATCCTTGTGTTGAGGGTGTCACAGAATGTATCTTTATTCTTCTAAAGGGCGGTGAAGAAAGGGGCAGGTGAGATGGCTCCAGTTCAGAAAGTTACTCAGTATTGTCCAGTCAGTTTTCTAGTGACATTGTAGCAAACACTACACACTGAATACCCACTAGATAAAGTATATTTCCATCTGCTGTCTTGGGGGGGGGGGGAAGCTGAGAAAGGCAATAGAAAGGACATGTTGGTATTTCTGTTCTGTTTAGCCGTTCCTCTTTAAATTGCTCTCAGTGAAGGCCAATGGCCCATTAAAATCTTTTAAAATTCCAGTCTTTAACTTTGGAGAGAAATCCATTATATTAATTATTACTCTTTTTGGAAATATTTACATAAGATAGCATAGTAAGCAATGCATGCGAACGTTTTGTTTTGTTAAGACAGGGTGTTGCTATGTAACCTGGATTGTCTTGAACATTTAGCTCAGGCCTCAGCCTTGCAAATGTTAGGAATGCATAAGTGTTTTCAAGGAAATACTTTTGATGGTGAGGACTGGTGGACATACAACTCAGATTAATGCATTTTTAATGATAGGAAAGCAATATTTTTAAACTAATTATGTATATGTATCTCTATATAAATAGATATACACACAAGTAAGATGTGTACTTGACATATGTGTTGAAAAATAAAGCCACCTTCAAGTTGCAATCTTAATGGTATTTTACAGTGCGGGAATTAGCCTGAAGGCCTCGTTCTCCCTCACTTCTGTGTCCCACCCTCTGGAGTGAGAAATTTGCTCCTCCATCACAGGTGAGATAAGGGATGAGGAGAACACAGCCTAAGTTTCATCCGGGCAAGGGCTCCAGTGTTCTCCCCCTCTCAGATCTCCAGGAGAACAGAACAGTAAGGGAGCATAACAAGCAGATGATCCTGCATGGGGCTTGGGCTCTTTGCCTGGGCTTCCAGAGACAAGTGTGTACTTCCTTTTCACCCACTGAGATTTAGACAGTGGCAATGGGTTCTATATCTTATTGGAACATTTTTACTTTAATGCCAACTTTTAAACTTGTCATTGCAGAATAACAGCTTCATTGAAATTTACCTTTTAGAAGGGAATGGTTTCAGTAAAATAATTTTAGGGAAAACAGATTTCTACAGGAGTCATTCTATTCTTTATACTGGGGGAAAATCATGAACAAAGTTACAAATGCTTGCTTTGCACTTGAGAACAACTAAAATTGATATATAAGATAATTACTGGGTCAGTGTGGTGGGCTGAATGCTCAGGACTTGTAAGCAGAATCCACATAATTCTTACAACAGCTCTGGGAGGAGGTGAAGGAGGTTGTTCCCGTCTGTGATGAAAGCTGGCTGACTGGCCAACTGCACAGATTTAGCCAGTGGGTGGTGAAGTTGGATAGGAGTCTAATTCCGTCTGCTGTTAAACCCATGTCCTTGACCAGCGTGGAGAGCAGAAGCTGAGGTACTGTCTTTAGAGGAAGGCAGCATCTCACGTGCATCAGACGTTTAGCCTCTGCATTGAAACACACACTCCTCAGGAGCGCATATCTCTCGACTCAGTGACGTCTGTGGTGGAAATAGCACATTTTACAGATTCATTTTTATAACAAAACACTAAACTTCATAACCCTCTCAAAAAGTAATTAAAAGCATAGCAAAACAAGAGAATTTCAAAATATTAGCTAAAGAAATTGGAAATCAGCAACAAAGCAATACAGTGAGTGTATGTGTAGCTGAAATGGAATGGTGGTCGAAGTTGGAAATTTTATTTAAATAATTTTATACCAATAGATCAAAGAATAATACCTACACTCTTGATTTTCTATCAATTCCAAAATGCTTATTTAAAAAAGACACACATATGTATACCACTTAGTAAGTTAGGATAGCAAAAGTTAAAGTATAAGAAAATCTCAAGAAATCAGAAAAACTCTATGGGTTAATTGTGTGGCATGTTTGATCACCTGAACTTTATTTCATTTTAGAAATTCTAATGGATAAAATAGAAAGAGAAATACCTATTGTCTGTGTTAGGAACAATTTTAAGTTCCTTACAGTAATTTTAAAAAATGTTTAACTTCCAGGAGGTACTAGTAACTATTGTTTTTATTTTACAAACTAGGAAACTGAGAACCAGAGAAGTTGAATAAGTTGGCAAAGTTCACACAGACAATAAGTACAAAAACTGAATTAGTACTCAAGTGGATTAACATATGAATGAGTCTTTGGTCTTAAATACTGTAGATTGTTGTCTCTTAATAGTTTAATTTTGAAAAGTTGCAATTATTATAGAAAGATGATATAATAAAGACATAATAAAGAGTATCGGAATAAAAGGGTACAATTACTTAGGGATAAAAAAGCTAATGGTAAACTGGGTGGTGGTGGCGCACGCCTTTAATCCCAGAACTCAGAAGGCAGAGGCAGGCGGATCTCTGGGAGTTTGAGGCCAGCCTGGTCTACAAGAGCTAGTTCCTGGACAGGCACCAAAGCTACAGAGAAACCCTGTCTCGAAAAAAAAAAAAAAAAGCTAATGGTATACATCAGTTTGTTTTCCACAATAAATGTACAGTATGGTAAAAGAATTGCATTTATACAGTCAGGAATACCTACAGATAGCTGTGTAGGTACAACATAAGCATTAAATGACGACAATAACAATAGAATAAGAAACAAAAGAAGGGAGTGGTGGACAATGTTTACATTGAAATCTGGGAAAGAATAATAAATGTATAAGTGTCATCTTCTCCATATTAACTTATGAACTTATTATAACTTAATTTGCAACCTCAAAAATTGGGGGAAAACTTGCCATTAAAATTGAAGAAAGATTGACCTGAGAAAAGTAAAATTTTGGAAAAAGAAAGAGTAATTTAAGAACTTGTCATTTCTGAATACTAAAACATGTTAAAAGATTATACTTAAAACAGTGTGCTACTTTTTTTCCACTAATGTAGAAATTTAAAGGTCCAGTGGTAGTTTGAATGAGAAATATCCCCCATAGGCTCCTGTATTGGAATGCTTGCTCTCCAGATGGTAGCACTCTTTGGAGAGGTTATGGAATCTTTAGGAGATGCACCCTTGTTGCAGGGAGTGCATCACTGAGGAGTAGACTTTGAAGATTTATAGCCATACCTCGCTTCCAGTTTGTTCTTTACTTCCTGTGTGCAGCTGTGATATGACCAGTTAGCTTCCTGTTGCTCCTGCCTGCCATACCTGCTTGATGTCATTCTCTTTCCATCACTGTGGGCTCTATCCTTCTGGAACTATAAATATGAGGAATCAAGAGCTGAAGAGTGATAGGCTTAATTGTATTAAAACTTCCTTATAAGTTAATAAACAAGAGACACAAAGAGTATTGACCCTAACAATGGATTTGTTTTATTTTTTGAGAGTAGAATTAATAAATCAGTTAAATTCTTACTAAGATTCCAAAAATATGATTGTTTAAAGGTTTAATAAAGCTGAGACCTTATGGGTGAGTTGATTTCCTAACCTCTGCAGCATAGATAGTCATGGACACTGTCAAAGGATGAATGTTATGCCATAATATGACAGGATTTACTATCATATTTATGTAATATATTTTCACACACACATAATATATATATTAGTGAAAAGTATTGACAGCATTATAGAAAAGTTCAAGCAACAACTTGGAAGAGCAGCAACTTTCCATCAAAAGACCAACTAAATTTGAGATACCGTAGTCACAAAAGTGGAGGATTTTAAGTAGACATTTTTATAATGCTTGCACGTCAGTGCATATTTCAGAAATCATTTGCAACATCTTTGAATAATTCAAGTTTTGTTCATGTGAAAATGTATCATCAGTAGTAAAAATGAAATCTCCCAGTTAGTCAAATGCAGCAGATAATAGCAGTGGAGCGACAAGATGATAACATTTGAAGAAAAATGTTCCCCAGTTTGATTATTGTAAAGTACAGTGCAACAAAGTTGGCTATTTCACCTCTATCTGGAGTATCTCTTTTTTTTTTTTCAAATACTGGGGCCACAAAGCAAATGTGAAAGGGAAATTCATCATCATCAACACGCACTAAAGATCTTTTTAGCACCTTAGGGCTTAGAGGGGAAAAACACTTGCCACACAAGCCGGAGAATTTGAGTTCATTCTCTAGAAGCCACAGTGAGAAGAGGGAAATGGCTCATGGAAAGTAGTCTTCTGGCCTCCGTCCACATGCCATAGCATATGTGTACATGTGTGTACCCTCACAAACAATAATTAAATTAAAAGTAAAAAGACAAATGGATAAAACCTTTAATTTTTGTGAAATATAACAAGTAATGGCAGCCTGTAATGTTACCACCAGTTGGCACAAAGATTTTAAAAAGGAACACATTTTTGCCTGAGGTTCTGTTGGCATAATTACTGAGTTCTGGAAAGAGTACCAGGTTTGCTGTGATCTTTTACATCTTTCTGGTTGGATCCACGTCTCTGAGCAAGGCAGTTGTTCTTGGCTACTGTTGTTCTCCCTGAAGACATGCATGCTGATCCACGTCCTGCCAGCGCTCTCTCAGCTGAATGGACTTCTCATTTTGCTCATCTGTACTGCTCTTTTGTTTGTAGATTTTAAATTATGCCATATTGTATATTCAGCCATCTCCCCTCACCTTTCTCCAGTGGTCACTGTACCTTAGTTGAATTTGATATTTCAGTTATTTTTATCTATCAACACTAGAGTGTTTACTTTTGGTTTGACATGGCTTGCTTTTAGGGTTTGGCCAACAACCTTCTTATGTATTCTTCCTGCAAGGACTTTTAGATACTCTGAAAATCACATCCTAGGAAGATATGTCCTACTGGCTCAGAAAACATGCTTGGAAATGTCTGAATCTACATGAAAGGAATACATTATGACTGGCTCTGCAAGACTCTTTTTGAACACACATAGTTGCTTTTGTTTATTTAAAGATTTAGTGTGTGTGTGTGTGTGTTTGTGTAGTGTAGGGTAATGTAG